TTTTCTTTGTGCGTATTTATTACACAAAAAAGCCTGTTCTAATGTTTGAGTCTAAGGTTTATTTTTTAGCACCTGACGGCTCTTTTTTGCTTCTCATCCGTAAACACTCTGCATCCTCTTTCACGTGATTCAGTTTATTTTGAAAAGTCTCAACAGGATCTTGAGCTTTATTGTGAAAGGTTTATGTGGAAAATAAACAAGCAGATGGTTTTACCGTCGTTGTTCCTAACAACAACGCATAAAAACAGGCGCTTGTCCGTCCGTAGTGTGGTTATATTAAATATAAGAGAAAGAGAGAACTTTAAGAAATGAATATAGCCACCACAGTGACCATCAAAACGCTGAAAAAAATATTGCCGTAAACAGTTTATTTTGCGACACCACGAAACAAACGATAGCATAAAATGAAATGATAGACGTTTTTATATCGTCATCCAAATATATTGTTATATCAAACAGCCCTACCTTGACCTCACCAAGTCTGTAATGCTCTGGGGGGGTATTTTGCTACCATGTTTTCGGTCTGCTTGTTGCCACATAGGGAAGATATTTATCCTACGATAAAACATTTCTATCTCATCAATTTAAAGATTATAAAAAGATGTGAATCATGTCTTATGGTTGGCTGGGTTTGTCCCATTTAAATTGATCCACTCCATCAAGCTGACTGATTGATCTGGCATTGAGATGTGAAACAGCAGTTCCTCGATTAAAACTTACATCGGTTCACTGAGCACGGTGTGAGGACTAACGATTAGCCAACCAGCACCGTGGCGTGGGATTTAATCTGATGTCAATCTGTGGAACCCAATTTTTTTTTCTTTTTTTTTTAAATTGCCACTGCTTGCTAATTTGCTGAACAACAAATACTGGACAAACATCAACTAAACAAGTAAAACTGTCAAAATTTGTAACATTTTAAGGTTCTTTAAGAGCCTTTTTAGTTCTTTTTAGTTTCTTAAGATGGTATTTTATATGTATGTAAAAAAAACAGCCAACGGGAACCACAGAGTAATATGATACTTAAACACAGTCACTTTTGTCAACACATAAAATAAAGATTTTTTTAAAAGATACTGAGGCTTAGACCCTTAGGCTACAACTATACAACTGAAATCGAAGAAAGTGCTCTTAAAGCTCAGGCAAAACCAGTTTGTTTCCATGGATATTAGACAGATTAATATGTAGGGCTTCAGGAATTTGTTAGAGGAAATGAAATGCCGTTCCTCACGGAAAAGGCTGCATCCATCTATTATACTGCATTTGTGCCCAAGTGATGGAAATGTCGTCACCAGGCTGTTAGCACGAGACTCTGTGCGGACTTCAAGCAGACCTCGAGTGGTCTTTAAAGAAATATAACAATAATCACTACTCATCCTCTGTTTCTGTCACTGTCCACAACCAAGTGTAAGCCTCACTTAATCCTATGGTCTGCATGGTCACTAGATCACGACTACACATGGAGTATCCTCAACCACATATTTGCTTTGAGCTGTACTACAGGAGCTAAACTTACTTGATAAATGTGATATGCTCTAACTATGATATGAGACATGGGAACACCAATGTTTATTCTCCACTTTACATCCATAATCTAAATTCAGGAGTATTAAATAAGACATAATAGAAAACACAGGTAGAAGATGAGCCTGGTGTCAAAACAATTAAATTCTTTAGTTGGTGCAGGTTTCCGTTTTTAAACCAGGTAAAATGTGCTTTTTCAACTCACAAAAGTTCATGTACTTATGAAGGATCATAAAAATAAGGCAAATTGAAAAGTATCAAACTCTGGCCTATGTCTATGTACTTGAGAGCCTGATCCTTGGACAATTTTAGAGTATGAAAGTTAAATCATCAATGGCTTCATTAAATATTGCACAAAAACAATAAGCCGATTCTGAGATGGGAACTTTTGATAGGTTTGGGTGCTTTTCTTGAATAACTCTGGTGCAGAGTTTCAGAGAATCATGAAAGCTAAACACTTTAGGAAGGCTAATGTGCCACACATTCACATGTCCCACCAAAACCTAGAAGGATTAGAAGTCACTAAACCTCCACATCTCCAGTGGGTGGAGTGGAGTCATGTAGTGTTGAGATGCATGCCTGCATCTCAACACTACATGACTATTGTGCCACACCATCCAAGCCCAGTGTTTATTCAGTCTGCAGAAATAAGTCCCCACATCTCTTCCCACTGCGAGTCCTCAACGTGACATGGGTACCTGTTATGTTATAATGAGCCTCACCATAAGTCCCGCAGCAGGACCTATTCAATTTTGGGTTTGAAAGATTAAGAAGTTTGAGAACCTTTGCTCCAGACTAATCAGCCAGCCATGCCTAATCTAATCACACAAATGATCTCACTGCTCTCAGTGGCAGCTTGCTCTGAAATTAAACGTTTATAACAATTACCAGATATTCTGTTTTTCTACTGGGGGGTGGGAAGCTTTATTTAAGGAAAACAGTGTCAAGTTTTATCTATAGCACAGCTTCACTCTGGAGTGGTCTAGCCTATTTGGAGGACACTTGTGCAGCTTGGGCGCTCCACCACCTGACATATGGGTGGGGTGTGGCGTGGTGAAGGAAGGCCATGCATCTCCTTACACTGAGTTATGCTCTGCTGGACTACACTGTGACGCTTGTGAGCTGAAACCCCAGTATAGTGAAAGAATTACAGTCTGGGAAACTTCTGGACATGCAGAGTTAATGATTCCTTAAACAGACGAGGGGTTGTGTATTTGTCTGCGCGTGTGTGCTGTGTAGTATGCAACACTGGCCAACGGCTGGCCAGCTTCAATCCTGGTAATCGGCTCAAGAGGAGAAGAGAGGGGACCCTGTGGCCCCCCTACAGCCTTATCCAAGAAAGGTGGGGGTGGGCAGCTCGCCTAAAAACACAGCAGCTGACACAATCACAGTCATAGATTTAAATTAAAACTACTTAACCACAAAATGCACCAGTCACAGGCAGGACTGGATGCAAGGACATGTCCTGAGGGGGGCACAGGGTGGCACCAGGCATCCCTCTACCAATGCTATTTTGCTAGAGCACTATTAGGCCATCTAGTAGTATATAAATAATGAAAAGCATCTCTACTAGCAGCATTAAAAGTGATATGCACACACTCTTGAATCAATATTTATGATCCAATAATGTGTTTATGACTGAAGGTTCTTTCTCATTAGGCAGTTGTAGTTGAACTATTTGTATATTTTGATGGTAAATATCTAAGAAAATGGACTAGATTAGATTTGGGCAAAATATGAGGGCCAGAATTTCACTGTAAATCATTTTGGTCCAGCCCTTCAATACTAAAGAAATTTATAAATTAAAAAAAAAAAAAGTATTAAGCTAAGTGTGGAGTCTGTAATGCATTTACCTCTATTCTAAAACAGTGCATTTCATCAGGTCCAGTCACTCAAACCTACCTTGAGTGCCGGCACCTGCAGAATGAAATTCAGATTAAATTAGAACTATTTTATTTGTTTTATCTTGTCATTAATGTTAACGTCTTGCTTTGGTCTCAGTGGTGCAGACAGAAAATGCAGGAATCTTGTTTAACTCCACATTTGTCTGGGCTTTAGCCAGTGTAGATGTTATGTTATGTTGTTAGCTGCTAGGCTAAACAGCATCACCAGTTTTCTTGGTTGCGTTGAATTGGCAACGTTATTGCAACTCTCATCAATCATGCTGACGTCCTGTGAGCCACCACATTTCAAAAATCCTGGAAACGCCCCTGGTTTGCTGGACACTGGACTTAGTAAGGACTAGAGACATCGCCAAGCCCTTGCTACTGTTCGGCAAGGAGGCGTTTCTTATCCCGTCATGTCATTAGTAAACAGCCACAACCTGAGTCCAGACGGGCGGTTTAATTACAGCACTGCTGCTCCGCCGTGTTGTAGGGTCAAATTATTGCTGGTCAAACAAGCAGCTCGTACCAAGCTAGCTCGTGTGTGAGGACAATGCAGGACGACATGACATAGTCAGTGTGTTGCACAGACAGCTCGACAGACATACAGGAGAGGGGCTGTCCTGTGGGTGGTGGGCTAGCAGCATCTGAGTGCCCAGCTAAGCATCCACACCCTGCTTGTAGCTAATACTTTAAGCTTTTATCTATATGCCTAACGTATCAAGCAACCTGACCGTGTTACTGGGTTTGTCAGCCATTGCAGGCAGTGCCGCGAGTGCGCTGCATGCACTGTACACGCCGGCTATATTACAACTTTGCTCCCTCATTTAAAAAGCGCAAATATGTAATGCATAAATCACCAATAAGGGGGGTGTTTATTCTGTTTAATAGTAGCACAGCTTATGTTTGCTCTACAGGTAAAGTGCTTGCTAACTAACTAGCTAGCTAGCCCAGTTAACGTTCCGTTCGCAAGATAACGCACCAAATCCCATTCAGAAATCTGGAAATTACATCTTTACCTACTTATCGCACGCATCCACAGAAGCAAGAATAAACCTCAAGGTAGATAATACTCTACTCACATTCGCGCCAAATTCGGCATATTTATCGCACACATAATCTTAAGAGCTTCTGTGATTTGCCAACTTTCAAAATTATTCCTGCCACTTCCCAAATACACAGCTGTGGGCGGTAATAGCTACGCAAGTGTGAACAGTTTCTTTTAAAATAAAGCGATAGAGGCAGATTTACCTATACACGATGCTCAGCCATGGACTGTTAAATAGTTTGCCTGGGTTGCCGTGAGGGCTCAAAGATTTAATTAAATTTATAGGCACCATCTTGAACAATGTGTTTACCCTACTATCTGGCAAATCCTGACATTTTTCAATGGAGTTTGGCATTCATTCTCTCGCAGCACGTACGGGGGACTTGCCACCGAGTAACCCAAGAAAACCACGCTGCCCAATACTGCTTGGCTTTCAACATTTTCAACCCAAGGGTCAGCCGGGGGTAGGTTTACAGGGCCCCCCACCCCCAGGAGAGGGCCCGCGTGTCCGCGGCCTCTCCTGCCACTCCTGGCTGAGCTCCTACCTCTGTGGGCCGGCTGATCTCGAACAGGTCGAGCCGGTTGGCGTTCCAGTGGTTGATGATGTCGGCCAGTTTCCTCCTCTCCTCCTCCCTGCTCCCCGACATGGTGGACAGCCTTTCCGTAGGTCCGCACTGTTGAATAAAACTTCCCGTAACGGTAGTCCACAGGAGAAGAAAAAGCCGCCTCACAAACCAAAGGTTCAGGTCTGCTGCTTTATCGCCAGGACTTCGTGCGTCTCTCCGCTCACCGACCGACCTGCTCTCTGATCTGCTCCTGCTTCGCGTTCCCGGTGAGCTTCTGCGCGCCCCCGGTCTATGTGTATGTGTGTGTTTGCGTTTGTGAACGCGCAAACTATTAACTGTTTCAGAACCGACACAATTGATCGATGACGCTGCTTTTCTTAAATGTGCAGTCTCAAAAGAAGTAGCCCGCTTATGGTGGTCAGCAGGATTAACTCATTATCTTTTCATTAAGACCCCAACACAGACACACACACACGCCCTTAAACCCCTGAGCGATTTATTTACACTGTAAATATATAATATCTACAATTCAGACAGTGAAATCTCACTACTTATCTTGTTGTTTGTTTGCACTTTGAAAAAAGTAAACAAACACTTGTGCAGAAGAGGAATAAACCTAAAAACTTAGAGATGCAAAAAGATTTGAATACAGTAGAAAAATTATAATTAATCTTTTTAAATAATTGTAATAATCCAATACATTAAACACAATACATTTCAAGTAGCACACAGAATTTTTTTTTATTTAATTCAGGAGGCAGAGCTAGCTCATCTCAAGGTCAGCTAATCCAGTCCATATGAAAAAACTGAAAATTGCTGTGTGAATATAGACTGTAGTATTAAAAATGCTCGGTTAAAGTACAAAACAGTCCATTTAGCATTTGGTTGTAAATGTAAGATTCTTTTTTGTTACTTGTTGGAAGCACTGTGAAAGTGCACCAGAATTTTTCTTTATTAATAAAACTAATTGAAAATATCTTCTAATTATTAACCATTAATATTTTAAATTATTACCTTAACATCCAAAAGGTCTCTGCTAATCTATTTAGCTTTACATCTACCCTTGAATATAAAATTTTCACCTAATTTGCATGCTCAAATGGAAGCAAAAGAGTAAAGTGCATGCAAGAAACTTGATTTTAGAGGTATCATCTTCTTAGCATGTTACCCACCAGTGACCTGGTTTATGTTAAGAGGATAAAATTCCAGTTTTACGCACACAATCAGAGAGAGCATCTTATCTATGTATGGGATGGATGAGCCATTGTGTGCAGTTCTACATTCGTGATAACCTGTTTCACTGCAGTAGCTTTTTCCTTCCTGTGGACCCACTCTTCATAATCACACTCATTTCCTGTGTGTGTGTGTGTGTGTGTTTCTATTCTGTTTGTTGGGGGTAATGATGTGGCGCTGCGCTCCATCTATTAACACGTGGCTGTGAGTGACTCTGAAAGGTCAGCAGATACATGTGAAATGTAATGATCTCATCTATAAAAATAGCTGTGATACAGCAGGGCGGTTAGTCATGTGGGCCGCCCACCTCTTCTCCCAGACAGGGTGCAGAACAGTAGCCCGGGCTTCTTATAAACACATTAGTCACCGTGCCAGAATTTCTGGGTGTTACTGTATAATGGATGAGTGAAGCGTTGAGATCATATGTAAGTAATGAGTAAGGATTTTATCAGAACAGCTTATCTAACTTTAGCTACATGAGAGATTGCATAAAAATGTAAACATCAACAAATAAACTAAATACTGAATACTGCACTTTTACATTATAGTTTATATAAAAGTAATCAAATTAAACAATTAAACATTAAAATGACTATTTTCCAAGCCCCTTTTTTGGCCTGACTGGGACTAGAGGGTAAAGGAGCCGTGGCAGTTGTTTGGCTTGAAATGACAACTGTAATCTCCATACTTTCTTTTTTCTCGAAATAGTATTTCAATTTTATTCTTGAAATTCTGTTTGTGACAGGTAGCAAAAGGTTGTCTTGAAGAGAGAGGAGGCAAAACAGCTTGTTTTGAACTGTGCCCAGTATAAAATAAATACGGATTATTTTGAGGTGTAACTCATGGAAAGCTACTCCAAGAGCAATAGGTAGGCATCTTAAGTACACCTCTCTAATATGCATATGCTAAAGTGGGTGTGTATGCAGGTATTTGACTTGCTATTGAGCCCCTTTTCTTCTTCTTTATGTGATGTGACAAGATGTGAATTCTTTGGGAACTCATTTGACATCAGCAGCAGAAGTGAGAAACCACAACAGGAAACCAACTTTACCAGATAGCCTTGCTACTTCCTGTATCTGCGATGTTATCACAGCGTCAGTCACCACACACACACACACACACACACACACACACACACACACACACACACACACACA